CAACGGTGGTATGAGATCAAGGGGAAATTTGGAGGACACATCCGATGCTGCGAAAGCAGACCTCGAACCATAAGGAGGCAGCAAACTGAGGCTTTAATACGTCCCCAAGCTTCAGTGACACTCGAGCGATGCAGTTCTGAGAATAACAGTCTGTGCCACCCAAGTGTCTTGCCTAAATCCAAGGGAAAAAACCACAACGGGCCGGTTCCATCGGAACTGGCCAACTAGTCCCAACATTAGGTCCTCTACCAGCAGACAGCTTCACGTCAACTATCCCACAACACGCTGAGGTTGTAAGATTAACTGTCAGCTGCCTATATAGCAATGTGAGGGGGCTGAGAGGAAAAATAGGTGAACTCCGAAATCTCCAAGCACACCTACAACCGAAAATGATCATTCTCACCGAAACATGGCTAACCCCCACTATCGCCGATAATGAAATCAGCATAGGTGATATGGTTTTGGTCAGGAGAGACAGGGATAATAAGGAAGGAGGGGGAGTTGCCATATACTTTGATAGGCAACTTAAATGTGTGCGCGCAACAGACCCACCACTTATTGAACTTCCAGACTCTATATGGTGTCATTTCACCGTAGGCCACACCAAGCATTTACTTGGTGGCATCTACCGATCTCCCACCTGTGGGGCAGAGCACAATCAGTTACTGCTCAGCACTAACACAGGGAAACAAGACTTGGGCTATGACCAAATCACCATTGCTGGAGATTTCAATGCCCCATCACTGAACCTTGGCTCGGGGTATGCTAAGGGGAAATTCGGCCGAAATCTACTGCAAGCTATTCGGAACAAGGGACTGACTGAGAACATTGGAGACGACACTAGGTGGAGCCCTAGTGGAAAGTCATCAAAACTAGACTACAGTCTAACTAGTGACCAACTACTCGTCGAAAAGGTCCAGATCATGAATCCTCTAGGAAGTAGTGACCATGCAGTCATAGGTTTCGACCTCGTTCTCCGTGAGCATTTACAGTGGGACGTTACGCAACCATGTCTGTGTTACAGCAAAGCTGACTATGCTGAAGTGCAGAGGCTCTTGTCCGATGCAGACTGGCCCTTAGCATGGGATGAGCTGGCTGTGGATGAATACTGGGAGGTGGTTAAAAAGATTATTCATACAGTAATCTCGGATACCGTCCCTTTAGTCACAACACAGCCCAAAAGAAAGTCATCATGGTTAAAGAGAGGCACGCAGCGTATTCTGCAAGCAAAGCGGAAGGCTTGGTTTACGTGGCGCGTATCTAAAAGCCAGATCGACCATGATGCATACCTGGAACTCAGGAACCGGTGCAATGCAAGAGTCAGGAGGGACAGGAGGTCATTTCAGGCTAATCTTGCTAAAAAACTCCTGGCAAACCCGAAGAATTTGTACCGATTCATGTCGGAAAGGAAACCAACCAACCAGGGGGCGTGCGCCTCAGTAGGCCAAAACGGTCAATATCTCACTAGTCTGGAGATGGCTGAAACATTTAGTTTAGCCTTCGCCAAACAGCTAAACAGCAATGTGGGTATTACCGTTACGGACTAAAATGGTGGCATCACTATTTCACAGGAGGAGGACCAAATAGCCACTCCCCAAATAAACCCTGCAATAGTACTGAGAAAGCTGCAGCGAATCATACCTGGGAAGTCCCCAGGTTGTGATGACATCAGGCCATCTGTTCTGAAACAGTGCGCCGAAGCTCTCTGTAGGCCTTTATGCGACTTGTTCCAACACTCCATGGAATCGAGGGAACTGCCAAAGGAATGGAAAAGAAGCATCCTTTCTCCGATCTTCAAGGGTGGGGATAGGCAAAATCCCACTAGTTAAAGACCAGTAGCTCTACTCCCAGTGGTATCAGAAGTACTGGAAAGTATTATTGATGATCACATCAGGGAATATCTGGATAGGTCTAAAATACTCCATGAAGCCCAACACGGTTTCAGGAAAGGAAGATCCTGCGTCACAAACTTATTATCAGCTTGGGACGACTGGACATCATTCTGGGATACGAGTGTTCCATTCCATGTGGGCTTCCTGGACTTTGAGAAGGCATTTGAAACTGTTCACCATGACCTCCTCCTACACAAAATAAGCCAGGTAGGTATAGGTAAACCACTTCTGTCATGGTTGAAGTACTACCTAACTGAAAGGCAATTTTGCACTAAGGTCAATCGAGTCCGATCATCTTGGCACAGCTCGTCATCAGGAGTGTCGCAGGGTTCTATCCTGGGACCACTGATATTCTTGATTTTTATCAATGATTTACCATGCCGTCTAAGCTGCCCGACTCTTTTATACGCTGATGACGTGAAGATATGGAGGGCGATAAAGTGTCCGGAGGACTCAGATAGACTGCAGGCAGATCTAAGGCTTCTGGAAGACTGAGTGGTAACCAGCGGCATGAGTTTCAACCTGAAAAAGTGCAAAGTAGTGAAGTTACGCACCTGTAGACTGCAGAATGCAAGATACACCCTGTGCAATGAAAGCCTGCCCTGCTCAACGTCGGAACGTGACTTAGGTCTAGTTCTAAAGGAGAAAATGGACACAAGCGTAAATTACATGGGGGATGTAGCGAGGGCATATGCGGTCATACACTTTACACATAGACAACTAGGTGCACTCACTCCTGAGCTCTTTCTAAGGTTGTATAAGATATACGTCAGACCGCATCTTGAAGTGCATAATATCATTGCACCCCACTGCTTAGAAGAGACGCCAACCTCTTGGAAAGAGTCCAACGACGGGCAACAAAAGGAGTGGTTGGTCTCCGAAATAAACCATATAATGAAAGGCTGAAGAAATTAGGCCTATTCACACTAAGTTACCGTCGTCTAAGGGGGGATTTAATTACTGCCTACAAAATAACAAATGCTCAGAATCACCCAAACAAAGGTGTTCTGCCATTGAGTAGGTATAGGCTCCCTCGTGGAAATCCTAGAAGGATAGCTCATCAGAGGGCAAGGACCCGAGTGCGCTCCCACTTCTTTTCCCTGCGGGTTTGCCGTCCCTGGAATTCCTTACCGGCAGATGTAGCTATGGCACCACCTGTGGACGCCTTTAAGCGAAGGCTGGACAACCATGCAGCGGCACAAGGACTTCATCCAAATGGTCTATCCCCTTAAAATCGCATACACCATTCAAAGGTAGACAGTTAAACTGGTCGTTTTACTTCTTTACATTCTCTTCAGTCTTACTCTCCTGATAGCTTTAACTACACTATTATTATTATCATTATTACTGGTATATATATATACCGGTTAACTGACTGTTGTTACGTTTTCTTATTCTTTTTCTGTCTGTTAGTCTGAATACCTTCACTAATTATATTTATTATTATTATCATATATTATCTGTTTTCTATTGACGACGATACCGAAGGACCAACTGGTGAAAGGATCAAATCCATTCACAGTAGTAACAGTGTTAACAAACCTCATACTGCAAACCACATATAATTAATCCCTGCACTACTCCTTTTGGAGTCAACCAAAGCTATGACAGTCGAATGGCGGGACGAGCTACGCAGACGTTTACCGAAGATCAGGAACCTCTACCTCACAATCAAGAGGCGAGCACAAGGAAATCAAATTGGTTTATACTAGCTCGTAAAAACGATATTGGATATTGGAACTGTCTATCTTTATTTTCTCTTTCTTTTTCTTTTTTTAGGTCTACATAACCTACATTAATTATACTTGTCATGGTTACCTCTTTTCTTTTGTCCAAGACATCGGAGGACCATAGAGTGAAAGGACCAATTCCATTCGCAGTAATGACACGGTCTTAACTTACCGGATACTACAAACTGCATATAATTAATTTCAGCACCACTCCTTTTGGAGTGAACCAGAGCTACGCTAGTTCAGTGGTGGGACGAGCTATTGAGTAGTTTTCCTAAGACTAGGAACCTTTACCCCACAATCATGAAGCGAGCACAAACGAATCAAATTGGGTAGGCGTTAAATGCCATGTTCTAGTAGCGCTATTAAAATTTCCCTTGGAAATTTTTTTGGTCAATAATTTTTAATGAAATTGCGTTATATGTTAACTGGATTGATGAGAATTCCCATTTTCCGGCCTGTTATTTTGGTGTCATGTCATCTGACTGCGACACCCCCTAGCATATTGGTTGCAACGATCAGTGTTTCAGGCGAACTGTAGCAAAATATCGCTATAGTGAGAAAGATAGGATAGTTGAAGGGTAATTTCATCTACACAAATAATCTACTGTATTCAGATGCTGCACCTTTCGGCATGGTATCATTCAATGGAGACTTCACGTCTCAGGATATTAATTCAGCCTATTTTCGTGTGAAGAACAGTCTTTTTTGACAAAAGAATTCTATCAGTACTTCGAAATCACTTGTAAATGCTAACAGAACCTTCTGTGGGAATAGAAGTAATCATGTGGATTTGTATCACCATATGTATATTTGGACAGGAATTATCGTAAGTTGAGAGGTTATTTCTAAGTGGATTTCATGTATATTTGCACTGTTTGGTGTAGTGTAATATGAGTTATGTGAACTCAGTGTATAAAAAATATCTCAACTGCATTAATATTGTGCCATTGTCTGCTTAGTTGACTGCTTGGCTAACAAACGTAGGTGGTTGTCATGATTATTGCAAGTGCATTGCCGTGGAGAAGGCAATCACTCGTTTAAATTTCTTTACTGTGCCACTTAGTGCATTAATTCAGTGTATAGTATTATTACACACATGAATTGTGTCGATTATGAGAACTGAATCTAGTCAGCTCTATTACTATCAATCTACTGTCTGTTGTGCCATTCTCACTGGCACTGTAAACTTAATGCTGCACTGTTTTTGATCACCAGTAGTGGTGATGCATTTTTCCTGAATTTCCCATTAACATGAAGCAGTACAGACGCAGTGTCACGATCGAATGTCTAGGTTGCATTATATGTCATTGTTATCCTCATCAACGCAACAGGTCTGCGTATTGGTTTACATTACCTCGTTTAACCGATATTGGCTATTGGAAGGTTACATGAAGGTCATGTCACAAACAGTGCCTATTTCGAAATCCCCGGAAGTAAGTATTTTTCGGATTTCCACATTTTGCAGACTTGAAGACACTGTTGTCGCAATTAAATAACATGAATGGAGAGAATTTTTCCTTATAAATCAGTTTATTTGAGATATTGCATCGAATCCTAATAAATGCTCATGAAGTTGAAACATCTTGAGACAAATGATGACTCTAAACTGTAGCAGCCCGAAAAAACAAGCTAATAAAGACCTTGACAAATCTCTATCGTTCAATCAGATGCGTACAACTATGAGACATGTATGTGTATATTTATGCATGTAGTGACATCTCATTGACTTATTTAAGTGTTTACTAGGATAATTTTCCCTCATATTCTTTTGTTTTTAGCAGCTTGTACGCACAAATGAATGGTCAGGATCCTATATATAATCTGTGATCACTTAGGGAATTTAATACCTTGACTTGTCATCATTTTTATAGACCGAAGGAAATGTGTAAGCGGGAGTTTAATTGGATTTCCACAAACTCCCTCATCTTTTAGTGGCAAGTACCATACTATTTTCGAGTCCGCGTAGAAACAGTGAACATTTAGATGCTGAAAAATTTGTCAACAAAGTCAGGAGACCTGTTCATAAAATAATATGTGTACATATCTGGTTATAACATGTCACTTTGATAGTTGCGACCATATAAGGATGGTGCGGACTTTTGGAGCCTAATTTATTTTGCCTGGCATATTTTGGTGATACTATTGATTTTGTGAAGACAGCCGTACATAGGTCTACTTTCAGAGGGTGGCGATAATTTCAAGGGAAATTGCGTTGACGGCCAAAGGTTAAGTTCCTCTGCTACAGTCGCATTACAATCACTTGGAGTGATTTTATTAGGATAACAGTCGAGTGTAACATCAGAAAATTTAAGGCTGCTATATCAGCGTTCAAACAATGACTGCTGACGCTCGACTTAAACAAGTTCTGGAGTATTTAACACATCCCCATTCTGACAAGACCAAGGATACATTCGTGAAATTATCTTCTAGATTTAGATTGGAGCAGTTGTATACTGTTGCTGAAATTTCGTTATCAGTATCTGTATAAATTGTATTAAGTAAGATAGTTTTCGGCACAAATATGAATGAAGCAATTGTCAGATATAAAATTGTCTCGAAAAGCTTACTAGGTTGTGTTTTGAGATTTTAGCAGTCTCAGGTTTAAGCTTTGTGTCTATTCTAGTCGGAGATACTTGTGTAGGATTAGTGTGTACAGGCGTATTCAGTATCCTTTTCATGAGTTAGTGAAAACCAAACTCGAAACGAAAAGAAATGTCAGCTCTTTCTATTATTTCACATCTACACTATATATATATAGCGGGTTAACACGGTAATGGTGATAAAAGAAGCGCAGAAGTCGCGTTCTTCGTAGTCATTTGGGGATGAAATGAAGGATTTCCATACTTGTAATATGTACTAGGCCTTTCACACACATATTTCATAACGTTTTCCTACACCAGTGGGATTATCAAAAGTTTTTCTTATCTATAGGCGTCCTCTGTCTATGCCTACTAAATGCAGCTTAACTATTGATGATCGGTCAGACTTATTATCATTTATAATTCCGCGAATCAGGTATCACGCAACAGATTTCATTTTCTGTCACAAATCATTTCATTATATTGTTATTTTTGTATTGTTTTTCTGTTTTTGAATAGTTGTTATTAGATCTTTTGAACACCTAAAAATACACATGAATCTCTCACACAACTTACGTTACTGGAAAAGTTTCATATCCTTTGAATAAAATTTACAATGAAAAAGATTTCACAGGCGCATACCATCGATTCACAAAATACAAAAGAATTTCAATATAGTTTATCTATTAATTCATCAAAGTCTGATTCAACTATACCATCATTTCAAGAATGTCTTTCGTCAGTTGAACAATTATCTGGACCTGTTTACAAATTGAATGAAATAATCCAGGATCTGATTGATTATAAGGTGAAATGTGGAATCTTTTCTCTTGTTTTTTTTCGCTTCTTGTTAATCTCTTCTGTGTAATCTACAGGGTATATATGTATATATAGGGCAATTGTAAAACTTTATTTCAATCTTATCGGAATAAAAGTACCAAGAGACACAAGATAGTGAGTGGTTTTTGCCATATTCTCGAGGGATGGTCTTCTTGAAGTTGATATAATGGTTAGGTTGCTACGGTATTCGAGTCTTAACTTTATCCTTAGTTTTGCTTACTTAATCACGAAATCTAACTAATGTGTGGATGACTTCATACATTTATTCCTTTTTGTGAATTTCAATAAGGCGAAAACAACAGTGATTCGTGCACAATAAAGTGCTATCATCATCGTTTATCTCGTTGACTTCTCATCAGCAGCTTACAGCCTAAAGATATTCATTACTATGTAAAGAAACGATATTAACCTTCTTAATCAGGGAGTTCAAGTTTAAACGGAACAAATCAATCTATGCATACAATGGTAATGATAGTGATCACTTTATTCCAAACAATAACAGCAATCATACATAATGGAATTTTCAGCATCCGATAATTAGACGAAAGAAAGAATATAGGGATCCAGTTCCCAGGATAGGTAACGAAAGACTGGTAACTACTTCTTTCTGAGCACTTAAATTAGGTTTTAGGCGTTTGGCAAACTTGGGAAGAATTGAGCCTTTTTTTCTATTGATATTTTTGAAGGATCTTGCTATGTTCACCTCATGACCCATTTCAAGGAGATGTCTGGCAATGACACTATTAAAAGTATTTGTTCCCTTAAGACATGGGCCTTTTGGTATAAGTTCAGAAAATCTGAAGTATACCCTTCCTTTTATTTTCCCAATGTAACTGCTCCCACTGATACATGTAAATTTGTATACACAGTTAGAGTTAACATGAGAAGTGTGTCTGTCGACTTTTGACTGCACCAAAGAGCAAGTTATTCGATAGACGGGAATCAGCTTAGCTTCAGGATAGGCTGTACCTAGTGACGTCTACAATCTTCTGTTGACTATTACTGCAATATTTTCACCTTTATAGTCAAGTTGAATGAAGACAGGCTTTTTTTCCCATTGTGATTTATTCGGCATTTGAGCCTTAACATCTCCCACACTCGTTTATAATGAATCTCGGGGGGTAACAGTCTTTTTTCAAAATCTTTTCGAGAATCACAAATTCTTCCTTTAATTTGTCTGTGAAACATATTCGCCTGACTCTATTTGTGTATATAATGTGTAGATCTCGGAAATTGATTGTTCAATATCAGTGGTAAGCACATACTTGTTTCCTTTTCGTTACTGGCTTATCAGCTACACTCTGTTCAATTTTAAAGTGAAGCCTATTGGAAGAACTGAGTAGTCGGTCGTCAACTAAGCAAAATAGAATAGTGTTATTTTCAAGTTTCGGTTTGTAGGAGTTCGGCTGGTTTCAGGACTGTTCATGAAATGACTTCATTTAGAGAGAACCATTGAAAACAAAGGGGTGCTGGGTGGACGTTTTGTCCTCGTTTGAGCAATGATCTCACCGGGAGTACAATTCCAAGTCCTTAAGGTTAGGACGCGAACTATTTTACGGTTGGACCACCTAGACGGAACGCTGCCAATTCGCAATACATGTCACAACTGCCGGTCAATGTCATCGGCGAGTATTCATCCTCATAACCAGCTTAGTGGACCCCGCTGGTGGTGAATTTCCACTAAAACTTGAGATAATCTCATCCTTTAGTCAGTTACTAGCAAGCAACATATTTAAATTACAAATACTCACCAATGACATTGGCTGGCGGTCGCCAACCAGCCACCAGAAATCACGTCTACTCTGTCATAGATGGCTTAAGTTGTTGGGAAATACCAAACGAGTCTTCTGTATCCGTGTTGAGATTTCGTCAGCGATCAACCCACTGATGGAGCTGACTGACGCGACTCCCCAAATAAGTGAACTGGTCAACATGCTCGGTTACGACTTTACTCCCTCGGCGATGAGTCAGTGTAGTCCAGTAGTCCTGTAGCCTCATCATCAAACTTGAATTTGACAAAGGGAGCGAACCGCGTGCAAAACATTAGGTGATCGCACGCTGCTCAAGGTATTCAGCAGACTCTGATCTATTTTGTCAGCGTCCTCATCTGTGATAGAGGACTATATCATCCGCATGCATATTCTAAGTCACCGAGAATATTATTCCTTGGTGGTAACAAGTCAATCCCTGAGTCACTGAAGTCAGGGTTTAGTCCATTCGTATACCCAGTATATATATATATATATATATGTATAAGGACAATCTATTACCTACCTAGGTAATCCTTATCTGAGTATATTACCAGGAGTATTGTCATCTCAATTGTCTCATCCTTCTTAATCTTGAATCCCTCAGTGTACTTAGTTTTTTTTCCAGTGACCTTTCACTACTTTTTTGTTTCCCTTTATCAATATAAATTGTGAATTGACAAGTAGAGGCGTGTAATGATCACACATTGTGTTCGAGTGTTTTCTGCACGCAAATGCCTTCACAACACTATTTCCGGTGGCGGTGGGAGGTAGGGGGATTCCGTCTTCTATTATATATAATATGACACTATTAGATATTTAGTAAATGGGTTAATTGTTCTATTATTATTATTATTATTGTTGGCTTAGTGATTTTTCGTCACAGACTACTTTTATTATGTATGTATGACTATAGAGTCTAAAGAAGAAATCATCAGAAAGGATATTATTTGTGTTCAATAATTTGTATTTTATTATCACTGAAATCCACAACAGTTTGTTTAAGCCAGTCAGCAAGTCAATCACGCAGGGAGGTGTAGACTTCCTGACTGGCTGGTTGGCATCCTCGCAATAATGGTTAGAACCAATGAAGGTTGAAGACAATTATCGGTGATATGGCTGAAAATCCTCGTTTTCAATGACTGGTGTGCAGATGCACTGACTCACTCTTCATGATTTATCATATCCTATCAAAGTACTCGATTGTTCTTTCATATTAGTATTCTTTTCCCCTCACCCACACTTCTATTTCTCATCTCTCTTTTGAATTTCTTTTGAATCTCTTCTCTTGCTTTGGCTGGTATATGGAGGGAGTGTGACAAGTTGAACTGTTGCACATTTGTGCGAATTTGTGTTCAAACCAGTCAGTCAGTCAACAGTTAGGATGACGGTAGTTCAGATTTTGGTAATATCCACTTACCTATTCATAGAGGAGCGTATATTGATTGATAGTTCAGTGATAGAATATTCGTTAACAATGCCTGTGCTTTGGGTTTCGATTCCTAACCGACAAACTCTTAAATCTCACCTGCTCGATATATTACACTCAGAGAAATCAAAGAGGAAAGTTAAGCGTAAATCGAGTAATCTCATCCTATGAGGAACCACTAGAGCTATTCAAACTCTGTGTTCTACTCGTAATTGTTAACGAATGAAGAGAAGAAAAAAATAGTTCTTAAGAGTTGATTTGTTTTTCACGTTCGCAGTTCGCTCCGTTTTCCTTTATGGCTGTGAGTGGGACATAGTCATTGAAAGTGGAAGATATGAAAGCTAGGCTAGCTGGCTCTGTCTTTGATCATAGGTGTGTGCGTTCTATCTACATCCCGCGTTAGGTGGGGGTGGTATAATATGGTGAGTAATATTGAGTTGGTTAGGCATCTGTCGAGTGGTATGTAGGAGGGAGTGGAAGTAAACCGACGAGGTTGTGAAGCTACACCGATTGAGAAAGATGGTTATGATATGACTTACTCATGCATGCCTAGCCATCGCCTCCCTTGACAACTGTCAATATTAGCTGACATAGGATTAATCATGTTGTTGGGAAAGAGCTAGTGGCTGGTGGTCAAGCCAAAACATGGCTCCATCAGTCAATGAAATCCTCTCCTCTCGGTCCCCTCCTAGGCAACTGCTTCATGGTGAGTCTCGAAAACAGCATCCTCAATCCCTTGATAAGTCAACTTCACTTATACAAGAGATACGTAGATGATACGTTTATAATCTGTGATGAAAAATGTGATTTAGATCCTCTCGTCAAAACCTTCAACGCAGCGTATCCATCAATAAGATTCACCTTAGAACGCAAATCGAACAACACATTTCCATTCCTTGATGTACTACTCATCAGAAGACACGACTATACGATCCAAAGATCGATATACCGCAAGCCAACATGGACTGTACAGTTTATCAACTTCCAGAGCTTTGTCCCGTTGATCCGAAAGAGAAACCTGGTACGCATATTGTGTTCAAGGATTAGAAAAATCTGCTCGGATGACAGGGTAGAGAAAGAATTAAATTTATTACGTGAAACCCTACTAGAGAATGGGTATCCACCAAGATTTATTGACAAAAACATGAAGGAGAAGCCTCCGGTGTCAAACATCGCAACGGCTCCAAAGAAGACTCTCTTCATGAACCTAGAATTCAAAGGGGATATCGCAGCGGAAATTCTCAGAAACCGCCTTTCTAAATGTCTGAAGAAGACATTTCCAACAGCCACTCTACGTATCACATTTTCCTGTAGACAGTTAATCCAGTCTAACGCCATGGACAAGATACCGCTTTTGGCCACCTCAATGTGTATTTATCAATTTACTTGCTCGTGTGGAGCAAAGTACATCGGCCGTACGTAACGTCAAGTCCGCAGACATATTCTGGAACACTGCCCAGCTTGGTTAGCCAGAAGAGAAAAGAAGAATAGCAACAGTTCGATCCTCGAACACCTCATCTCTGGACATCGACCACCCCCCACATGAATGCTTCACAGTGTTACACAGAGTCCCTCAATATCGTACAAAAGGACTTCGGATACGCCATCTGTACATAGCTGAAGCATTAGCTATTCGAGATCTGAAACCGGACCTATACATTCAAAAGCGATACATACATTCTCTTGCCTTACCATGGCCAGAGTAAAGTTCTTATCACAATTTTTGCTTCTTTCCTTTATTATGTAAGTTCACTATTATTACTATTATTATTTTATTTTATTAATACTTTCATTATCATTATTGTTCCCATCATCCACATTTTATTACCACTCTATTACTATTTATTAATAATATTGCTTTTTCATACAGATTTTATAGAAAAGCACTTTATCGCCTTTCTACTAGTTCCTGTGCATTCTACACAAGTTTATTGATTAGTCATTATCTCACACTTATTACGTCATGCCAACTTCTGTCTCCTTTCTAACTTACAATTAGTCATCCTTTCTTACACCTTACATTATGTAATACAATTTTTTTCAAGGACAAAGTTTACCAGTATCTGATTGGTCTAAAGATTTCTTTGTTAATTATAATTACGATTGTACAGTTCATGAAAATGAATCGTCGAAAAGAAAATTTTCTTCGCTGTTTGTACCTTTTTCTTATAAAATCCACAACAGTTAGTTTAAACCAGTTAGCCAGCCAGGTAGGGAAGTGTAGACTTCCTGACTGACTGACTGGTAAAAACCAATGAAGACTGGAGACAATTTGTGATATGGCTCAAAATCTCCACTGTCAATGATGCCTCATATACATTCAATTATTGTGATTTATATATAATATGCAATAAAATTCTGTTGTTCTTCCATACTAATACTATTCGTTTTCCCTGACACTTCTAATTATTGTCTCTGTTGGCTATCTTCTCTTGATTTGTGTGCTACAAGGAAATGGAGTGTGGCAAGTTGAATTGTTGCACATCTATGTAAAGTTCTACGTTGAAACCAGTCAGTCCGATAGTCAGATTGTTAACGATTTGTATGGAGCGATTAGTTCTTAAGAAGTATCATGATAAGTATGAATACAATAGTCGTAATGGTTTTTATACCTAGTCATGTTTATTCTACGTGTAATTCGATTCTGTTCTACTTGATTTTAAATTTCATAAATATTCGCATTTTGTAATCTACTCACACATATATACACTATTATGACTATTTTCTTATAGAATGATGCTGAATTCGCCGCTTTAAATGCACCAAAATTAGCTGAACAACTTCAGCCGAATACTTCATTGAATGATACACTTGCTGTTGTCTCGCAGATTCATAAACTTGCACGTTTTCAAGCTGCACGTTGTGGATTGGTTAATTGTTCTCAGGTTTGTCAGCTTGTTTACACTTATATGTATATGTATGTATTGTATGATGTATAGTGTTTTGTCTGAAAGCTCATTTGTTTAAGTGTTGTTTTATGGCTTATTTAGGCGTTTATTAAATGGTTTAGGACATGTGTTACACATGCATAGCCTAACCATCGCCTTCCTCGATGGGAAATTTTAGCTGACATAGGGTCAGATTGGAAAAGAGCCAGCACGTTGTGGTCAAACGAAAACATGGCTTCATCAGTCAATGAAATCCACAACAGTTAGTTTAAGCCAGCCACGTAGTAAGGTGTAGACTTCCTGGTTAGGGTCCTCGGAACGGTAAAAACCAATGAGGGCTGGAGACAATTATTGGTGATTTGGCTCAAAATCGTTCTCGGCGATGGCTGGCGCAGATACATCCACTCCTTGTGACTTACAAAACCGGTTCAAGTTGACGTATACCACCCTAGCTTTCATGATATGGTTGGAAATCTCATCTGTCATCCCTCCGCCAGCACTCACACAACTATCCAGATACACAAACTTATCAACAACTTCAAACGGTTCACTTGCAAGAGTGACTGCAGATACAGGCTCCTGCCAATCTTGTAACAGTACTTTGCACTTAGACGGCTCAAAGCACATGCTGTACTACTTACAGACACTGATCGCCAACTGATTAAGTGCGATTTGGGCAGCCTGCATGCTGTCGCACAGTAAGGCGATATTTTCTGCATACTTTAGGTCGAAAAGTCCTTCTCCAGGAGGCGGATCTACACCATCACTACTCATGTCCTTCAGACCTGACTCCAGAATTTCATCGGTGGCAAAGTTAAAGAGAAGTGGAAGAGGTCGCTACCAAAAACTACACATCCCAACACACCTTGTGGTGGTCCATTGCCGGGGGTAAAATCTTAGTTTGGACACAACTCCAAAAGCCATTTACAACAGGCCATATGTAACCAGCCTCAAGAATTTGTTTCATAGACTCCGCGATCAGTTGATTCCAACGCTCTTTTCGTTTCAAGGAATTCAAAAAGAAATCAATTTCCATAGCCGCGTGGGCAGCTGGGAAGTAGTAACCGGCCGGATACTTGTTTAAGCACATGAAATACTAAGTATCTCCTCACTTCATTCAAAATCTCAATCGGGTTTTATTCCGAGTTCTTTTTAATTCATGTTAAGGTTGTACCGCCGATAGGCTTTCTGTTACAGGAACCAGTTGTCCCATAGAATGTCAGCAGCTTATTGTATGACCTACAGTCTCATAAATCGTTTCAAATATCTTCCTAAATTGAGTATAACTCTGCTAAAAGTGTTTCTTTTTGTTTCAGCTTGTTCGGGCAGTTATTCACATTCTGAAAACTACAAAAAATGCTGATCTACGTTCAGAAGCTGCACTCACTCTTCAGTTGTTAACGAAAGCTTTATCTGGTGCAAAATTAGCCTGTGAAGAGATTGGTATCTCAGAATTAGTTGAAATGTTAAGGTGAGACGAGTTTTTCTGCTTGAATACTTTTTTGTTCATGTTGTATACAGGAAGCGTTATAGTAATACTGAAAAGAAAAACGGTAGTGTTTTGCAAAAGCATGATAATTTTTTTAAACTCTCTAGGAGAGAGGTACATGTCAGCTCAAGAGAGTTTATCAACATTAAAATAAGCACATTTCATCTTGCATTGCATGATATACGTCGGTTGAGAGATTTAACAGAGGTTACTTCCTTCACTGAGTGCGTGGGTGGCACAGCAGTAGAATGCTTGCCGACCACACATGTAGTCAGGGGTTCAATCCCTGGCCACGGACGCACTCCTTTACCTCACTAAGCCAGTAAGTAATAAGACTGGTAAAGAGGGAAGGTTGGGCATGAGGCTAGCTAGCAACTCTATCCTGTAAAAATATACACCACTGCTACCGAAACTTCAAGCATCTAGCTTGAAGCTTTATGTTCCAATGGGAACGTGAAGGAATATATAAAAAAACCTCCTTCATTTATCTAGGAAGCATCGTTTCAACTAAAGGTGGAAGGGATGAAGATGTCAAGTCAGAATAGGAAAGGCAAGATACGCCTTCATCAGCCTGAAACCAGTTTGCGAGTCTTCTACACTCAGCATAAGGAAAAAGATTCGCATTTTCGACACCATTGTCAAGTCGGTCCTTCTATACTGATCAAAACTTGGCGTGTCACGAAAAGGATTTCCTACAGCATATTGCAGACTTTCATCAATAGCTGCCTTCGCTCCACACCGGTGATCAAATGGTCAGAAGGAATTAGCAACAAGAAACTCCACAGTGGAAGAAACCAATAAGCAAGAGCTGGTCGCTCAACAAATATGTAGGAGAAAATGGAGATGGAACGGGCATATATTGAGAGAACCGTCGAATGACATCGTGCGCCAGGTCCTCGAGTGGAATCCAAATAGGAAGCGAGGGGCGAGTCGTCTTAGGGTGACAGAGGAAGTCGTGGGCGGATGGGTTGAGAGAGTTTGGGCGGTCGTGGACCTATCTGAAGAGGATAGCAGATCAAACAAGTAACGAACGACCTAATCCAGTAATCAACCAGATAACTTTTAAGCAACCCAACTGGTTTATTCACACGTAAAAATGGTAGTACTTCGTTTTAATCAAAACTTCTTTGGTTGCCGTGTATTACAAAGTACAATTCTTGTTGCTGTTTTTCTTGTGTATCAAAAACCTGTTCCTGACGATGGTTTTATATCAGAACCTGATCGCCGCATAATAATTAATATTGTTTATTATATGGAAATTTCGAATTGTAAAAATGAATTTCTAAAAAAATTTGTATATGAGTAATGACTGACTGACTGACTGACTGACTGATGGTGGAATTTTAACTTAGAACTCTGCACAGAAATACAACATTTCAAATTCTCTCAACTCATATAGCACACGAAAGTTCCAAAGGAAGTACAATGAGCAGAAAGGTACGCGAGAAAGAATTATATCGCGATTCCCTTGGGTTCCGAGTGGAAAATAGGGATTCAACAACACAACTCCACTTTCTTCAATTCTCAGCTGTCCTCTTCAGCTGGCTAGCTCAATGATCGCCCATAATCTCTCATCTCCCCTTCCCCAAACGATCTCTTCACACTCTCACCGACGACCCATTCGTCGCTTCCACCCGAACACTGGCCTGGTTGTCGCGTGATGTCATTTGATGGCCTCCTCAATGGCGTATGCCCGATCAGTCCATCTCCATTTTCTCCTACATGTTTGTTGAGCAATTGGCTCTTGCTTGTCGGTTTGTTCCAAGTCAGAGTTTATTGTTACTAATCCTTTCTGTCCAGCTGGCTGGCCGGCGATTTGATCTTCAGTATGGAGCCAGCCAGCCAGCGAAGGCAGCAGCTGTTGATAAAAGTCTACAGTGACCTGTTGGAAATCCTTTTCGTGACATACCTGCCAAGTTTCTGACCCAAAGGCTTTCCCCATCCTGCTGTATTATTTTGCGTCTCCATTTCCAGCGAAGAATAAGTTTGTATTTTATAATTTTTGTATTTTTAAAATTTTTCTTGTGCGCTGAAGTTTTTGTAGAAGTTCGACTGATTTTGTGGGGTGCAGTCACTAGCCCTACTCCCAACCCTCCCTCTTTACACGGGCTCGGGACCGGTTAGAAAACTAGCGAACTTGTAAACTAGGTGAGGTTAGTTGGCAGAACATAGAGCGACCAATTCCCTTGCTGTTTGAGTGGAGCACAGGGCTTCAAGCTGTAAAGTGTCAGTAGTGGTGATTTTGCTTTTATTTATGAGTGGGGTTGCTAGCCTCATTCCCAGTCTTTCCTGTCTTCCGAACTTATTACTGGTTTAAGCAATGTTCAGGGGTGCACCATAGTCAGGAGTCGAACCAGTGCCTTCAACATGACTAGAGACCATACTATCATTGAACAATTTTTCAGACGTTAGTTTTGTAGGGAGTGAATCTGTTTCTTGTTTGACCATGGATTGATATCAGTTAGCGTACCATTAAAAACCAACAAGGAGTACTAGACAGCCGTTTCGTCCTCATTGGCAGCGGTAAGTACTCACTACAGGGTTTTGAACACAGGAAACCATCCAGCAACTGGTACCTCACTCAATAGTCTATGCATAACCTTGCCATGTAACTGGAAGGTCCTACCGCGATGAGTCCCAAATCAAGGCAAACTAGCTGTGCTCGTACTCCATGCTGGTTTTCCAATAGTCCACTAACTGACATCAATCCATGGGCAAACTTGCAATCTTTTAGAAGTCAATATATGCGTAAAGCTTGGGCACTGTGGTGTGGTAGTAAGTAATTCCACATTAGTTTGTTTATTAGATGTATCACACAGTCAGCGAAACAGTATTAGTATTTACTGGATGACGTTTCGAACAAAATTTATCACTGTTCATAATCATATCAATTGTAATCACACGACTTCGAAACTTGAGTTTTATAGTTTTCTTTGTTTTCTCCTATTTGTCGTCGTCGGAGTAGTAGAATTTTCCAGATATCTGGGTGGACAGGTGTTGAATCATTCCTACTACACGTATTTGCAGTTGAGTCGATAAACAAGGCTTCCGTTATCAATCTCTCCCTCCACTTTGTTACATTAGATTTCAAAACTTTCATCTTATCCCACCCATCCTATTGTATGGTTGTGTGTAATTGCATGTAGTGAGTGCTATAGCTGAACTATTCTCTAGATTTCTTATATATTTGGGATCCAACCAACAGGGGCAGTCAGACTAGCAGAACATAAAAAAAACTAGCAAAATCTAGATTGGTTGACCCAAATATATAAGAAATCTAGAGAATAGTTCAGCTATAGCACTCACTACATGCAATTACACACAACCATACAATAGGATGGGTGGGATAAGATGAATGTTTTGAAATCTAATGTAACAAAGTGGAGGGAGAGATTGATAACAGAAGCCTTGTTTATCGACTCAACTGCAAATACGTGTAGTAGGAATGAATTCAACACACTGTCCACCCAGATATCTGGAAAATTCTACTACTCCGACGACGACAAATAGGAGAAGACAAAGAAAAACTATAAAACTCAAGTTTCGAAGTCGATGTGATTACAATTGATATGATTATGAACAGCGATAAATTTTGTTCGAAACGTCATCCAGAAAATACTAATACTGTTTCGCTGACTGTGTGATACATCTAATAAATAAACTAATATGGAATTACTTTTAGAAGTTCATAGGTGAAACTAAAACAGCTATTCCAGATTTTCAAGGTTTCACAACGACATGATTTTTGATATTGATTATTGATAATAGCAACCTTTCAAAATGGGTAAATTTATTTGAGAACCCTAAATTTTTTAAGGATTAATCTGAGCGGAATTTGGCACTTGTTTATATCATGTTAAATTATTCAATGGTGTTCAATAAAAGTTCATATTAACAACAAAAAGAAGAAATGAAATCATGTTTTTCCCTTATAAATTATCTACTTTTATAAGATTTTAATTGTCAATAACAGAAATACTAATGATAATTGATTGATTCTCAGATTGTAAGTTTATTTATTTTTTTTCAACAACTTGAATTCATGCGCAATATAGATAGGTTGGGTCATAAAACAACTAAGGAATCACCCTGAACAGCTGTTTCGTTCTAGTTTCGGACTGTTTAACAGTGTGTGCAGCCCATGACGGCCTCAACCATTATTGATCGACCGTCAGCATAAAAACAACCATGTACTACTGAATTGGTTAAGCATAGTGCTTGCCAGCTAGCCAGAATATAGCAGTGATCTAAACGCTGGATGGTTTGAAATTGATTCGACTCTTTGAGCTGAGTTCAACTGGGTGGGTGGGTATACGAACTGGTGATGAAAACAGCGTTGGAAGAGACAGCGCTGTCCAGTGTGATGTGTAGATCCCTTCTATCCTGGCTAGCTGACAAGCACTACTGGTTGATGTGATGTGGTATTTTTAATAGTAATAATAATAATAATCTACTTTATTCCAAAAACAGTCACTTAATAATACAGAATGGAATTCTCAGAATTTGTCACAATATCTAGCATCTGATTTACTTAAAAATATAAATTAAATTAAAAAATTAAAACAAAATTAACCAGAGGAATTTTGACCACGTTTACGATATAAAGTCAAAAAGGTATTCGAAGCACGAATTTGTGAATATTAAATATAATAATAATAATAATATAACAGTGAGAGTTGTTTCCAAACAGTATTGTCGATTCAGCTTGGAAATTTTAGCCTGTTATAGATTATTGAATCTAATGTTCCTGTTGAAATAGCAGCTAGTGAGAGCGAAAATACAAAATTAACAGTTATAACACAGCTTAAATGATGTTTATACTTATGAAAAAATAAATAAATAAAAATAAAAAAATTGAGAGGAATTATAAATATAAGAAAGTACCAATAACAATAAAGCTTGATGCTGTAAGGGTGGAGGAAATGGTTTATTTATTAGTGCAAAGAAGATTAATTAATTAGATTCATGCCTAACACTATTTT